TAAATAATAAAAATAATAAAAAATTATATAATAAATATATATATATATATATATATATAAAAATTAATATATAATAATTAATTTTTAAAAATATAATAGTAATAATAATAATAATGTTATATTAAATACTGTAATATTACTTATCGATTAATCTAATGTTTTTACATATTGATAAAAACGTTTAATTTACATCTTTATTTTATATATATCATAAAAAAGTATAGAAACTTATTATTTATGAAATATGTTTTATATTATTTAACAAAAAAAAATTTTAATTATTTATCATCGGACTATTTATATATATATATTTAATTGTTCTCTTTTTACAATATAAAAATAAGCAAAAGTATCTAGATTTGACATTTTTTGTTTATTTTACTTCTTATACGTTACGTTTATTTCCCAATTTTTAATAATAATCACGAAATAGAGCGAAACATATACAGACTGACATTCACAATTCTGTTTCGATGATCATCGTCATTTTTAATAAAAAGATTGACGAGATATGCTTCAGCAAATAACTACTGTAATGGATTAACTCGCGTTCGCGAAAAAAATATTGATTAAAATATTATTGTAACATGTAACATTTAGAAAATTTAATCGACATATAAATATACGTATATATAATAATGACAATATTCTTAACATATGAACCGTTCAATGCACACATCAATTAACTCCATAAAACAAAAAAGTTGAGTAATGCGATGAAACAATAGCAACGACTGATATGCGAAAATCGCGCCATTTATATTAAAAATTCGTTTCAATGGGCAACAAAATTTTGCCCATTAATGGTGTTAAATCTTTATTATTCAGAAAAGTTATTATAAATATAAAAAAGTTATGACTATACCAAGTGTTTTGACAATTAAATTTAAGATTTTTCAAAAAGTCGAGTTAATCGATGAACGGCACTGAACAGCTCATATATCGTATCTTTTGATAAATTGTATAAATCCAATTATTTCATACATACACATAAAGTAAATGTACAAATTAAATTATTTGATTTAAATTGAATATTTTTTTAATGAAAAAATTCTATAAATAAAAAAACAATCGATTGTTTCATACGAGGTAAACCACACACCACACAGCGAGATTCAATATTTATAATATAATAACATCGGCACATGTTAACAAGTTGTCGATATTGTCACTTAGGCAATATAAACTTAATAGCTTTACCATCTGATAATGTAATAATTTGTGGTATGTATTTTTGAAAAAAAAAAAAAAAAAAAAGAAGAAAAGAAAAAAATTCCAATTAGTTAAGAACTTTATTCGATTACTACTATGCCATTTAAACGATAAACGCTACTCATTTTTTAAAAAGGTTAATCTAATAAGTTTTCTTTTTTTTTCTTTTTTCTTTTTTCTTTTTTCTTTTTTCTTTTTTCTATATATACTTTCACAATAATAACAAAATTGAATTTAGTTTTAAATTCCTCCATCGATCGTTGAAAAAAACAAAGTTTCGTTTGAAATCACGTTCAACAAATATAGACAAAATCTAACGTGAATTGTATTGTAAATTTTTCAAAACAATATCAACATTTTCTACAAATAAAAGAAAGAAAATCTAAAGGCGGAAGATAACAAAAATTCGTACATAAATGTCTATTTTATTATTTCGATATGTCGTCGTCGAGTCCTCGACGTCGACACGTGTGATGGCAAAAGTCAATCTTGAAACTATACGTCAACTGTAACCCTTCTCATTTCTATACTTCGTCAGCTCTTTTCAAAGTTCTACCTCTTATTCCATTCTTTTACTGTTCTTGACTGAATTCTTAAAAATTCACAATTCTATTGAATGTCTCGTCGTGATTTTTACCTAACAATCATTTTAATAATGACTAAGCGTTAACTATTCTTTTCGTATTTCTTTCAAACAAGGCACTACCTTTCTTTTCACATATTTATTATGTATGATATATATATATATATACTAGAGGTGGCCTACCACGCGTTGCTGTGGCTCACAATCAGTCCGATACACACGTCTTTCGCAATAAAATAATATTGCGAATTATAAATTGAGATATAAACTATCGTATCTTTCAAGTTGAATGAAACTGCACACAATGTGTAAAATTTGATTGAAATCGGTTCAGTAGTTTAAGAGTCCATTGCGGACAAACAACGTGACACATAATTTATATACATTAAGAAGATATAAATATACAATAATGAATGCATACAATAAAAATTGAATGATAATTTGATCAAACGATTAGTTTCGATGAAATATTAATCGATTTAATTATCCTTTTTCACTATATTCTTTCCAGGTACTCGTAGTTCTTTTACATCAATAAAATGACAACAAAGCAATCTGTCACGTGAAAAATAATTAACGAATGAGAATCAGAGTGGAAGTTCATCTTCGATGTGTATTAGAGATCACACGTTATTGGCATGTAAGATCACCAGATATGTCATTATTCCTGAAGCTATCTATAAAAGTCAAAGTAATACATTTATCGATTGTGAATGAGAAAATAATTAGATATATGTATATATGGGTGTATATATATATATATATATACAGGGAAGAAAAAAGAAGGAGGAGAAGGTGGAAAGGGACAAACTTATTGTTAGTTAAATTAACCTTCTCATCAGTCTTTTATCGTCTTACCGTAAGAAGAAGAGACAGATCGATGCGAATCATACCACCACCAGCAAAAAAATAGACTTTCCTTAGCTGAAAATATGCAGCAACCTCGATGTTATCCTATAATTACGAGAAGCAAATCGATAAGGTTTCAGAGAGAGAGAGAGAGAGAGAGAGAGAGAGAGAGAGAGAGGGAATTACGAAAACAGAAAGGTCTTGAAGAAGAAACGCTTTGATCAAAATAGCTCTTCATTCTAACTATTTGTTTACAATTAGATAATAAAAAACTGAGATAATTAAGGAGTAAACAAATAAATACATTGAATAAAAGAGCTGCATTGAATATTCAAACTTGAAAGATCTTTGATCTTATTCTTATAATAACTTTAACATTTGTTAAATGAACAAACGTTTGAGATCGCATTGAATCGAATTTTAACAATAGTACTACTCACCTGTGTGAAATTTCGTTTTCCAATGACCGAAGAGAGTGGTGAAAAGGCTATTTTTCCTACGTCATTTGCCTGAAAAGATCAAAGGTAGACACAATAATATATTTTCATGTGCAAATTGTAAGAAAACTTTCTTTAGTAGCTTTCACATCATTTAGCTACAGATATATGTGTAACTTACCTGAGATGCAGTAACATGACAAATCGCTATGATCAAAAATAGATTCCCAATGCAAGCAGAAATTAACAAGGATTCTCGTACAAGTAATAGAGTCGGCAATTCGTCGTGTCCATTGATCGTGTAAAGTCTTGAAAGAGTATTAAAAGACATACTGATGATCCAAAAGAAAAGTGATGCTGCATAAACCGAATTAACTATTTGAGTAGCATTCGACAAACAACAATGCAACCACCATATTTCTTCCAAACGAAAGTTCATTCTCGCTTGATCCACCACCATGATCTTCCCATCTGCAATATAAAATAATAAACATTAACAAAGATTAATCATAACGTGAAAAATAAAAAGATATTATATTAAATTAAAATTAATAAATTAATTATATTTCTTTTATTATTTATTAAATAAATAAATTAATAAATTAAAAAAAAAAACAACAAAAATTAAATTTAAATATAAAAATATTTTTTTCATTCAATTATATATAATTGAAAATATTTGTAAAATAAACTTATGAGTATAAAGTAACGGTATTTCATAATTTTATTACTCTGACGATAATTTAATAAAATCGTTTCAAATTAATTGTTAATTGTTATTTATTGTTACAAGATATAGTAAAAAAAAAAAATAAATTCACAATTAAAGTTTAAAGTGAAACGTGTGTCTACTTTATTATACATTATCTTGTATATAAAATCGAATAACCATGGAAAATATCAAATAGACTTAACAAAAGGGTGAAACTTAGATCGTTAATGAAACTAATGTCTGGCACATTAACTCTTCGTTGACGATAGTTGATATATATATATCGATGTTACGAGTGTAGAAGGACATTAAAGGGTGCAATCGATTACATGTCAACCTAGAAACAAGCTTGGAAGCTTTCTTTGAACTCGAGGAAAACGATAGCACTCGATTGGTTATCGTGTAAAAGGAAACCAGATGATATGGGTTTGTATATGTATATATATGAAAAAAATAAGTACATACAAATCAGAAGAACTGAAACTGATGCAAGTTTTACACGTCGCAACTCATATAAATGCCGATAATTTAAACACTAAACAAAACAATTTATTTTTTTAATATAAATAATTGTAATATAAAATAAATCTGAAAATTAATGCTTTCTATATTACAACTAGATAAAAATAATTGTATTAATATATAATAAATATTAAAAATTTGGACATAATTCAGAAGAAGTGAAACATGATGCAAGTTTTACACATCGCAATGTGTTTCAACGTGTATAGAGAATTTAAACACGTGATAAATGAGAAAAGTTAATTAACCAAGAGAAAATGTTCTCGTTAAA